AGCTGCAGGACTTGGCAGAGGGGGCGCAGTTCGCGAACCTGGCGGAGCTGGCGAAGGCGGCCGACGGCCTCATGCAGCGCGCTTGGCGACGGCTGCAGTACTTGCCGCCGCCTCCCCAAACCAACCAAGTGGCCAGAGACCTCGCCTTCAGGCCTGCAGCTGGTGCTCCGGGCCTTCCCAGACCGCCACCGGCGATGACGGCAGCTGCAACGTTTGCTTCCCCGGCCGCAGTTACGCAGTCGACGTACCCCTGGCCACTTCACTCGGCAGCGGTCCAGCCATCGACGGCGGCTGCAACGTTCGCTTCCCCGGCCGCAGTTACGCAGTCGACGTACCCCTGGCCACTTCACCCGGCAGCGATCCAGCCATCCTACCACCGGGACCAGCTTTACGGCCCAGCTTTACCGATGCTGCCCCCAGCCACCTTCGCGCTGCCGGCAACCCAGTGGCAGCAGCCTAACGGAAGACAGGCTCACTGCCAGCGCTGCGGAGGAATCGGCCACGCCGCTCGTCACTGCGCCACCGGTCGGCGGGCTGCGTCAACACCCGCTGCGTCTCTTCTCTGCTTCCAATGCCAGCAGCCGGGCCACTTCCAAGCGCAGTGCCCGGGAAACGGGAACTGGTAGATGCTGCCCCGGCGGGCATCTACGACAGCGCGTTGCAGGTGGCGACAACTGCCGGTGGGAAAGAACCCCTCTTGGACGTGCGGATTGGTTCGACGACCTTCCAGGCACTGCTCGACACGGGCTCCAGCGTTAGTCTGCTGGGACTGCCGGCGATGACAGCTGCCCAAGCTACAGGAGCCAGTCACAAGAGGGAAGTCCGCACGCTGCGCCTCGCGACAGGCTGGTCTCAATCCTCCACATCGCTCAGGTGCAAAATCCAATGGGCGGCCGGTTCTCGGAGGCAGCGCTTCCTGTTTGTGCCCGACCTTTGCCGAGACATTGTCCTGGGGAGAGATTTTTTGACGATCACCGGCATTTCAGTGCACGTGGCACTTGGGGGGTGGACGATTGGCACAGAACCCCAGTGCATTGTTCCGTTTGCTAAGGGTGAAAAGAGGCCAACTGAGGAGCCTCTGGCCGGGGAGGATTCCTACTGCCTCCAGGGCATCTTCACGGAGGAAGAACCTGCCTGCGCCGGCGCCTCTGACCAGACCACCTCCAGAGGTGATCGGCCTCAGAGTCATGCACCGGAAGTGGACACTTGCATGGAGAATGTGTTGGTGGACTTTCGGCCGATGTTTACCACAACTCCGGGCTGCACCACCCTCGCTCATCATCAGATAGACACGGGAAAGAGTTTGCCCGTGCGCTGCAAGCTGCGCCCTGTCAACGCCAAAAAGCAGAAGATCATTGACGGCTGTGTGCAGGACTTGTTGGAACAAGGACTCATCCGCCGAAGCAACAGCCAGTGGACAAGCGCACCAGTGTTGGTGGCAAAAAAGTCGGGTGGCTTCAGGCTTGCCATCGATTATCGGCCACTCAACGCATGTACCAGGGTGCCAGTCTACCCCATGCCCAGGACGGACTGGCTGCTGGCACAATTGGGTCAGGCAGAGTGGTTTTCGAGTTTCGACCTGTCTCAGGGTTTTTTTCAAATTCCTGTGTGCAAAGAGGACATTCCCAAGACCGCCTTCATCTGCCACCTGGGAACCTTCGAGTTCACACGGATGCCATTTGGAGTGGCAGGGGGCCCGGCCACCTTCCAAACCTTGATGGACAGGGTTCTGGACGGCATAAATCACCAATTCACCATGGCATTTATGGACGACGTCCTCGTGTATTCGGATACTCTGGAGAGCCACGTCACGCATGTGCGGGAGGTGTTGCAGCGCATCAGGTCAGCGGGACTCACCATCAATCCAGACAAGGTCCAAGTCTGCCGTCGGTCTCTGAAGTTCCTGGGCCACGTGATCTCCCCAGGGGAATGCAGACCCGACGATGAGAAGGTGCTTGCGGTGTTGGACTACCCTCGGCCCAGCACAGTCAAGCAACTGCAAGCCTTCCTGGGGTTATCCGGCTACTACCGGAGCTTTATTCCTCAATTTTCCATTGTTGCCCGACCACTCACAGACCTCTTGAGGAAGGACCATAAATGGCACTGGACTCATCGTCAGGAGCAAGCGTTTGCCGCACTCAAGGAGTCCCTGGCCCACGACGTGGTTGTGAGTCTTCCCGACCTGAATCAGCCCTTCGTCGTCGAGACTGATGCCAGTGGAGTTGGCATTGCGGCAGTGCTGCTGCAGAGGGGCCCAGACCAGCTACAGCCAGTGTCGTTTATCAGTAGAGTGCTGACTGAGTCGGAGCGGAACTACACCGTTCAGGAGTGGGAGTGTCTCGCGGTGGTTTGGGCTGTGGACAAATTCCGACCCTACCTGGAGTTCACAGAGTTTGAGATCCACTGCGATCACTCCTCACTGGCCTGGATGTTTAGTACAGACCAAGCCTCACCAAGAGTCAAGCGATGGGTTCTTCGGCTTCAGGGCTTCAACTGCAAGATCAAGCACCGGAGGGGGCTTGCAAATGTCCCAGCCGACGCCCTCAGCAGAGCTCCGCTTCAGTGTATGGACACCCCTGGACACAGCCTGCCAGAGACGCTTTTCCCCATTGCTGCCCCGGAGACTGAGTGCCAAATCAGTTTTGAACCAGCTGCGACAGTGTCCATGATGGACGATGCCACAGTCCTGAGTGACCCGGGAAGCCTGGTCCACGAGCAGCATCAAGACGCCCTTTTGTCCAAGCTCAGAATGGTGATGAAGGGAACGAAGCTCCCAGACGACAGTACAGACCAACGCCTACTGGACGACCTGGCTGAGACGACAGAGCTGGAGGCCAATGGGTTGCTCGTTCAGCACAGAGGTAACAAAAAGGTACCCTGGCTCCCGGACCAACTTCGCCAGTTAGTGCTCAAGATGGCACACGACCACCCCACTGGAGCTCACGCAGGGTTTTTCAAAACCCTCAAACGTGTTTCTGAACGCTTCGTGTGGCTGGGCATGCGAGCCGATGTATCCAAGTACGTCCGGTGCTGCCAGGTATGCCAGCGGACAAAGGCCCGCCGCCAGAGGCCCGAAGGGCTTATGAGCAGTCAGTGGGCCACTTCGCCCATGGAGGAGCTCAGTGTAGACATCGTGGGACCTCTGCCATCAACGCCTCGACGCCACAAGTACCTGCTCGTGGTAATCGACAGGTTTACCAAGTTTATCGAACTTTTCCCGCTGCGCGCGGCAACAAGCAGCAACATTGTGGAGTGTATGGTGCAGGTGTTCTGCCGTCATGGCACACCTGCGACAATATCCAGTGACAATGGAAAGCCCTTCGTGAGCACCGTATGGCAAGGTCTCCTTAAGCACTGGGGCATCAAGGACCGCCATACGGTGCCTTATCGACCGGCAGGACAAATGGTGGAGCGCCACAACGGCACAGTGAAGGAGTGCCTCCGAGCCTACTGCTCCGACCACAAAGACTGGGACCGTCACATCCCCGAAATCGCCTTTGCCATGCGCACGGCTGAGAGCGTAGTGACGGGATACACGCCGGCGTTCCTGTGCTACGGTCGGGAACTGCGCACCCCGTGGGAGCAGCCAGGAAGCAAAGACGACACTGAACCGCCTGCAACGGCTTGCCATGCCTTTGCTGCTGAGGTCACCAGGTGCCTTCAGGATGCTCTCAGCTTTGCAAGAGAGCACCAGGAGGCAGCAAGGCAAACCCAAAAGGCCAACTACGACCGGCACAGGAAGCCTACAACAATAAAACAGGGTGACCTCGTCCTACTGGATAGCCACACCCTGAGTAATGCGGCCAAGGGCATCACGGCCAAGCTTGCACCGCGGCGCTCTGGGCCCTTCCGGGTGGCACAGTGCTTGGGCGAGAATGACTTCCTACTGAGGGACCCAACTACCGGACGTCGCCGCGGAGTGGCCCACGCAGACCAGTTGACAGCCTACCACGAAGATCGACCAGATGCCACTCCTGCAATTTCACGAATGAAGGGGGGGAGACCTGTAAGGAATGTGAGGAGTGTGTGGCGCCGGCGACAACCGGGACCGTGCGGGGACACTCCTTCCCTAGGGGGGATTCCTAGGGACAACACTTGTCCCCGCTCCCGCGAGTCGCGGGGAGGAGCGAGGGACGGCGGGGAGTGAAGGATGGCGCTGGAAGAATACAGGAGTGTACCACGTATGTGAAAGTGTCCGCTCAGCCGAGCCAAGCGTGACAATGTTAAAATCGCGCGTTCCGTCAAAAAGCACTTCGAGCTTTAATAATTAAATATGGGCACACAAAACGTATAGTCTACAAGCCCTCGGAAGTGTGGCTAAACTTCCTTTCGCCTTACCCGGTCTCGGCCTTTAAGTACGACTTTGGGGAATTCAGATTTGTAAGCGTTCCAATTTTATTAGTTAACTGTGCATGGTGTGCACTCCTCTAGCAATATGCAACTATGCGGAAAGAGTAGTGCTTTAACGCACTATAGATCGGTGCACGTGGAGTAAAAACCTATCGCTGTAAGAGTCCACGGATACTGGGTTCAATCTCCACCTCTGCCCGCTTCAATCTGGATCAGCCTCGCATCTGGCGCGCAGTCGCGGATCACTACGGCGCCATGCACCTTAAAGACTCCAGGCAAGCGGTGCGTGGTACTGCCTTGGTTAAATTATTCATTTCTGGCGGAGACACTATAGACGTCCATTGGGGCTGACCAACTTACCGCTGTCTAAACACACACAGAACATTATACGGTGTGCAAGATCGTTTGCGTTTGTTTAGCCACTAATCCCGTACGCGTGCGACTGCCCCCCCCCTCCCCCTTCCTTTCCTCGACCTCAACCGATGACGGCGCGAGCCTAGCTGCCTCATCATCGCGCGTTCTCTGCGCACCATTTTTTGCACTCTCTATGTTGCTTTTTGATTGGCGTGCCCCTCACTGCGCTCCGATGCGCCAAAGACGCGTTTCGGACACGCTCGCTCGCCGTACTATGTGGTATGCTAAACGCTCACCGACGCAGTGTGTCGGGGCGCCCTCCCACTGCCGCTGGGAGTTGCACCTGGCCGTGGGCGGTCCCTTGATGCGGTACCCGTGGCGGCACTCGTACTTCACCAGCGAGTTGAACAGCAGCTCCGTGTAGATGGCTCGGCCGTTCAGCGGATCGTCGGGCTTGTCGCATTGCACCGCTGAGCAACGTTCGACGGGCAACAGGGGAAGAAAACGGCAGGTTAAAACGGGCACCTGGGGTCGGCCAAATCGTAGACACGCAACGCCGCGAAAACAAGCACATGGTTGGGGCGCTTATTCATTCAGCGAGAAAACGAATTCCTGTGGAACGCTGCCGTGGTACTCGTGTCAAATTTGTGTCCCGCTCTGGCGGTGACGTAAAAAATTCGGCGCTACGGCTTTGTTGTCTAGAAGCCCATGTCGACAATCGGCCATCGTACCCCATTCCCAAAAGATCGTCCCCCAAAAAGAAAAGGCTCAAGGTGTCGTTTTCCTCCTACCCTATAAGGTTGTTCGGCCTGATATGTTGGGGAGAATCAAAACCCACAATACATGTCTTGCGCGTGACGCCATATGGCACTGTGCCAGCCGCCATTCCTCCGCTCCATGCTCTTATGCCCTTCTTCTCGGCAATCCTTGCCGAGAAGAAAAAAATTCGATTCTGCCAAATGTCAGCTGCAAAAGGTACGAGCACTGAAGCATGGTACGGTGCAATGTCGGCTGATGTGGCGTCGATGCAAGCTACGTATAGACGCTCACGCGACACAAATACGACGTTCGAAAGAAGGATGTGGAAGCAAGTGCCCTAGCAGTAGAGGTGAAGGGAACCAGCCAAACAATAGACTTAAAAGAGAGCACCATGCTGGTTCTTGCGAGGCATTGACGAAAGCGTCTCTTCGTGGAGTCCTGGGGCCCTAATCTACACGGCGGCAGCAAGCGACCGGAACATCGCCGCCTGCTGCGGTTCGTCAGCGGGGCGGAGTTGGCCAATCGCAACAGGCAACGGTGTCTCTGTTCCTTGCTCCCGCCCTTCCCCGCCGTGTAGATTAGGGACCCTGATTTATCCAGCGAACAAATGGAAACGTAAACCGCTCCTCGGGCACTCTGCCCAGCGATTATATCTCCGGGCTCTGTTACGTCTGCAAAGCCTCCTACATCCCTGTCTGCAAAACGCGCTGCCTGTCCCCACATGCAGTCACCCGTGCGCAAGGGACCCAATCGGTCCCGAAACGTTGGGGTCTTGAGAAAATAATTCATCAGAGACTTTATTCCTACCTAGAGAGACATTCTGTTATTTCTAATAGTCAGCATGACTTTCGTAAGCACCGGTCAACAGAATCAGCGCTCTTAGTACAAAAACAGCAGATCATTGAAAGCTTTGAAAACAAGGAACTTATTTTGGGTATATATATCGATTTTTCGAAAGCGTTTGACTTAATTAATCACACAATATTGCTGGACAAGTTAGAGCGCTATGGTATTCGTGGAACTGCTCTGAATTTATTTAGATCTTACCTGCAGTACCGTACACAATTCGTTACCATTAACAACTATATTTCAACCACTCAAAAAATTGAAACCGGAGTACCTCAGGGTAGTGTGCTCGGGCCACTCTTATTTATTATTTTTATTAATGATATTGAAAATAGTGTACCACAGGCAAACCTTGTTTCTTATGCTGACGACACAACTATTTTTATTAAGGGCAAAACAGCGGATGAAATAGAGAGCACGGCAATAAGAGTCCTTTCAAACATCGATTTGTGGACGAAAGTAAACGGGCTAAAAATAAACGCGGAAAAAACTAAATGTGTGTTATTTCGGCCACGAAATAGACAAGTACCTAATTTGCTTCAAATAACTTTAGGGTCTTCAACACTTCAAGTGGTAAAGTCGGTAAAAATATTGGGCGTTTATTTCACTGAATCGTTGTCATGGAATGAGCACGTTGATTATATACATCAAAAAGTTCGTAAATCTATTGGTCTCCTTTGTAAGAATCGGGATGTCTTTCCAACAGGTGTTAAATTACTTTTATATTATTCTTTGATTTACACTCACTACGTGTATTGCCATTTAGTTTGGGGCCAAACAACGATACAAAATATAACAAAACTACTGCTAACCCAAAAGAGGGTTCTTCGAATTATCGCAAATGTACCCTTCTTGCACCCTTCTCGGGAGCTTTTTCTTAAACATAACGTCATTCCTATTGACCACTTGTACCAATTTCGCCTGCTGGTGATGTATAATATGGCATTAAAACATAACATTTCTTTCCTTTTCGCACTGTCGGGCTTAGCAAAACTAGATCATAAATATGTCACACGTCATGGCGAAATTTGGAGCGTTTCAATACCTCGTACGAATTACGGCTTTACATCATTAAAATACGCATTACCATCTTTACTTAATAAACTCGAAGTCAATGGTATCAGCATCTATGGGACATCAAATCGGATGTTGGCAAAAATCATATTACAGACAGCATAATTTTTACCTCTTGTGCCTGGAGTTTTTGTATCTGTGGTGAAACTTTATTCAACTTTAAATATATTTGTTTTGATGCATTCAAGCTGAGTGCAACAATGTGAATAGTCGTTATTGTGTTTTAGTGTCCATTTTTGTGTTTTCGTTGTGTTTCCAATGCTGCTTTCCCGCCAAAGTGTGTTAGGGCGCCGGGACCTCGTCAAGCTGCAACCGCAGCTTTTTGTCCCGACGTCCTCCCTTTTTGTACCAACCAGAATGGGAAATAAAATACATTATTATTATTATTATTATTATAAACTTGGTTAGAGTTTGCAATTTTTGCCTGATGTTACTCCCTAACCAGGCAATGAGCTGCCGAACCATTACCTTCAGTAAGATAGAAGTTTCTGAACGTCATCGCCTCGCCATGGATTGAGTGGATTCAAGGTTCGCTCGCCTTTCTGGCAAACGCTGTGAGATGCGCAGCATGACTAAGAGCTCGAGGGACCGTCCTTATGGGAACAAACGTTTTGAAGGCCGCACTGCGCGATCGCGCCTGCGCGGGAGCCCTAAACTGTCAGTGCCCCTGCCAGGAAATCCGCGAAATCAGAGCAAAATGTCGGCCCCCTTTCTGGCCTTGTTCAGACACCTCTCTTTTCCTCCGTTGCGGTAGTAAGCCTACCCTTTTCTAGATAACAAGGCCGGACGGTTGAATACGAGTGATGCGTCATAGTTTGGCTGAGACTCGTGTTCTCACTGATTGTAGACGACTCCTGGCCGAACACCGCCCCTATAGGTGGCATTGGAAGCTGAACATTGCAATCTAGGAGGTATTGTGGGAGCGAAAGTATAGGATACGGTGGCCAGAATGCGTCTCCGACCGATGTGTTTAGCGTCCTATTCCACCCATGCATCAAAAGTGGTCCCAAAGGTGTCCACAAATGACGTCCCAAAAGCCGGAGTGTCACGCTGTCGGATGTCGCGATCCTGGCAATTGGTCGTACAAACGCTGGCCAAAAACATAAAACAACAGCGACCCAACTCTTGGCTGCCGACGCTTCTGTAAACTGCCAAGCGAGAAAGCGACCTGCGGCAGAACAAGCATCAGCCGCATACACCGCCACTGTTGACGCCACCAGGATCGCGATCAGCAAAAACAAGACACATCTACTACGTCATCGGACAGAAATCTAGGGACCACTTCTTGCGACGTGGTGAACACACCAATCTGAGACGCGTTCCAGGCACCATGGTAAGAGGGAGAGAGAGAAAACTGCTTACGTCTGCATTCGGGCAGCGTGCCGCTCCACTGCCCGGAGGACTGGCAGTAGCGGTGTGCCCTGCCGAACAGCTCGTAGCCCTCGTGACACTCGTACTTCACCGAGCTTGTGAAGCGGGTCATCGTGCCCATGCGACGCCCGTGCTCCACTTCGCCGGGAGGACCGCAGCTCTTGGCTGCAGAGAGACGCAGTCGTTTGTTAGAGATGAGACGAACGAAGCCTGAGGGAGAGTTCACATTTTTCCAAACTTAAGCGCACCACGTAAGAACGCGAGAAAGAAACGTTTACTTTTTCGTGTAGGTATGTACGGTCAAGTGCAAACACAGACACACACACACACACACACACACACACACACACACACACACGCACACACGCACGCACGCACGCACGCGCGCACACACGCACGCACGCGCACACGCACGCGCACACGCACACGCACACGCACACGCGCGCACACACACACACAACCACACATACATCGATGAGCGGGTACTATGTTGAGGCCCCGGAAAATGTACGAAGTTTGAAACTATATTTTTTGACGCCCATAACTGAGTTCGTCACAAAGGCTCGTTATTGACAAATACTTACTCTGCTTCCACACACGCACACACGCACGCACGCACGCACGCACACACACGCAAGCCCACTCACACTCATTGAAGCTCGCATACGCAGTTGTAAACCTGACGTAAGAAGCTTGAAGTCGAGTTAATTTTTGCCCAAACATGAGCGCACCACGTATGCACAGAAATGACTGATGGCGCCGCAGTTAAATATCACTTAACTCTTACAAAAATTATAAGTGAGTTTCAATTTAGTTTCTAATACATTCTTATAGAATACATTAGAAACTCAATTGAAACTCATTGATAATTTTTGTAAGAGAAATTCAGAAAAATATCAACATCAAATGAAGATTGCCGCCTTTAATCCTGAAGCGGTCCACGCGGCGCTACCGTCGACGCGCAAATGCAAAAGAGCAACAAATAAAGATAAATAAGTTTTCTTGGGGCATATTTTTTGCGGTTCATTAAGTCAAGCTAAGAACGTACATTGTGACAGTGCGCGTTTAATTTGTGTGTATGCAGTTCCATGTCTTTTAGCGTTCGATTGCGTTCCGACTCATGTTTAAACCAAATATAGAAAGGCTGCCTGCTATTACGGAGAGGAGCAGGTGACGCGTTACCTTCGATGTGTAAGTGCAAAAAAGGAAAAATAAGGATAACAATTGGCTGCACCTTTGGACCAAACACGTTTAAATGCGCTAGTTTTATATGAAGAATGGCACTCTTACACCCTATCACACGGGCAACTCGAATGTCATTTACAACTAATGACATTTGAGCCGACGGCCAATCAGCGCGTGACACTCCGGACGTAGCGCGTTCCACGCGCGACAGGTTGCGAGCTGATTCGCCGATCACAGAAATGTCATTCATGGTAAATGGCATTCGAGTTGCCCGAGTGGCACGCGTATTAGTTGGGTTGGTGCCTAGTGCAAGATGACACTTGGTCCCTCACTGCCCGCGATGGGTGCTGCTCTGAGTTCGCGTGGTGCCTAGGACAGTGTTTTTTATGGAAACAGATTACGTCACTCCAGCGTCTCTTTGCGATGCTGCGCACACATCCCTTTAGCCCCACACGGAAAAGCCTTTGCGCTGAACTTTTCGGGTTGCCAAGAGAGGGGAAGCGAGCTTCCCTGCCATTTCGAATCCCTCTCATTGAACGCGTTTTTTCAAAACCACATCTTTCTTCTCCTGTCTCGCCCTCTCCACGTCTCTTCGCTCCGCTTGCTTTGTCAAATCACCAGCTTCTGCTCCTCCCGTTCCTTCGTACTGGGTCCGTAGCTCAGTCAGCAGCGCACTCGGCTTCAACGCCGGCGACCGGGGTTCTATCCCTAACACTGGTTGCCGTTTTTTTTTCGTTTTTTTTTTTTTTTTTCAGTCTTATTTAGCGGTTAAAGACTGACCGACCTACACATTTCGTGTTTACGCGGCTCCTGAGATCGGTAGGCCCTGTAAAGCTGGCTTTTCTTTAAAAAAACGTTGCGCTGCAGCACAGAAGGGAAAATATATCGCTACTTTTCTTATACTGGAGCCGTACGAGTACGTAAGTAGAGAAGAGCGCGAAAACGCGAAATATAAAGATAACAAACGTGCATGGGGGAGGAGGAATGCGTATGCTGTTAGAGCGCAGCGAACGGATGCTACGAGCCGTCGGAGCCAATCCAAGGCCGTGTGAGTGTCCCGTCACCTCGGAGAGGGTACACAGCGACGCGCGGAATGCGTATCACGGGCTACGTCCCCAGAGCGGAATTGACTAGGATAGCTCGTAGCGTCCGCTGTGTCTGGACATAAGTATAGCAGCGTATGTCGTCATTCAAGTAATGCCAAAAGCGCTAAGTAATGGCTTTCATGGTATTCATTTGTGCATGTGTTTCGCGGGCGCCTCATCCGATTGGACGCAGAAGGTATACCGTGACAGTGCGCTTCTAGTCGTTGCGCATGTCCTTCAGTGTCTTTTTGTCTTTGACTGTGCTTTGACTGCAGTTAAAATAAAGTATAGAAAAGCCACCCGCTGTCTTAAAGAGGAGAAGGCGGCGCTGCCGTCGACACGCGAGTGCGAAAAAGCAAAAAGATAAAGATTAACGATGTGCGCGCCAAAGGAGAAGAGAGATGATGTCGCAATACTTTTCTTAGTCAGGGTCCTTGATGTCACTACCTGTATTGACTAAAATGTGCGCATTCCTTTTGTATGAACTTTACACTATACATTTTTTAACTACATACGGCGCCATTTTCTCCCCGGCGGCAGTCGGCGCCGCCGGTAATGTTGACGCACCCAAGAACAAGTAGGAAGCGCATCTTTTTGTCGACGCACTCTAGTGTAAACAACATCGCGTTACATTACAACTCCCCTACATCCTCTACCTCCGCTCCCTCTACATCCCGATAAATCGAAGCACTCCATTGCGCGTGTGAGTGAGTGGCAAACATTTCTGTTTGGAGGGGAGCGACAGTGTTATTTACGGCGAAGAGCAATCGCGACGGTGTGTGCGTTGTTGACCCAACTCCGACGAAGCGATCCCCGACGACGCCACGAGAGCCTACGCTCCTTTGAATGCGTTAGCACAACTACATGGGATCGATGCACAAACGCACAAACTCCATCGCACGCCGATTCAAAAACAAAAACAAAAAAAATGAAAAGGAGGAACTCGGATGCTTTTCCAAACAATAAAACGCGCGTGTCTTTAAAGTTAATCATTACGCGCGAACAAGAAAATAACGTTAGTGGCACTTCTCCGTTGCTGCCACGGAATGTCTATGCGAACGACAAAACGATTATGTAAGCAACTCGAGAATCCCAGTGCATATTTTGAGCGCGCACACACTCCAAACAAACTGATTTTTTTTTATTTCCTTTTTTATAAAGTTATTAACGTTGTTTGACAACGCTGACTTCAAAGGAAGACACAATAAACCTTCTTTGTGCCTTTTTTATGTCTTTTGTAGGTATGCATGGCTTTCATCTGAAAGCCGTGACGTCTCCGTCGACTTTTTTACACGTAAACTATGCAAAAGGGGGAAAGCGACCAGCTGGAAGGTGTATAAATGGCTTCCAACTTTTTATTCTCGGGCTTGGGCGAAGTTCGAGTAGTCGACCGTAAATTGAAGCTCTTTGTAACAATAAACCTGCCAAGATTAAGCGAAAAAAAAAAAACTAGGATTACGCGCAGCTCTTCACTTTTTCTGAATTCCGTCAAACACTTGTTTGCACCCCTAGAGGCTAAATTGACAACTAAATTGACGGCAACAACGTACGTTGTCTGTTTGTATTTTCACCTAGCGCTTGACCAGCATGGCCAAACGAAATGTGCTAACGTTCGGCTGGAGCTCGTGTTCAATTAGTGAAGCCGAACACGGACGCTGTATTCATACATTGTTTACTTCGTCTTTCTCAACTGGGCACGGGGAAAACATTTGGCACGAGTCGTTGTAATCTTTGACTCTCGCTTCATCGAGAAAGATGAAGTAAAGAATCCAGTACCATCGCATCCTCTATACTAACAAAGCCTGGCAGTTTAATGGCGGAGCAATAAAATGCCCAGTCATAAGTTAGAGCGCGAGGATCTGGTAGCGCAGATCATTTCTCGGAGAGCCTGTAGTCAGAGCGCAGCTTTTGCAGCGGCGAAGACCTGAAACATGGTTTTCGAACCCGACAGGAGAAGAAGCGGTACACCCGAGGAACGCGAGAAGCACGATCGGACATTCCATCGTTCGGGACAAGTGTGTTTCGGCGTCTCGCCGCAGCGGGGTGCCCGTTATATATCTATAGAGTGCCTTCATACGCACTCGCGCTTTTGCTTGAGTCGTGACATCTCAGCCGTTTTTCCGCCCAATCGCTTTTTTAGGCATTTTGAAGTGCGCGCAATCCGGTGTCACTCAGCTCTAGCGCGTAGCTTTGGCTAACGCATGAACGCCATTTTACCGCCCAAGTCACGCACGGAGTGCGCCAGAGGGTCACGCGCTGGCACATTTCGGGCAACAATGGATGTCTTCACCCTGAGACAGACAGACATGTTGGCACCCTAGACTCTTGTGTGCCGCTCTACCTTTTCACTTCCGGCGGCCACGTCTTCTGACCATCTGCCAGGATTTGTCAGTGCAGAGGAGGCTATGCCAGTACACATACTTTGTGTTGGTAAACACGTAAACACAAAACTTTGAGGAAAACAAGCCGGACATAGCGCCCTCCACATTGTTCGATCCCCTCGCCAGTAGGGATCACGGGTTCAATTTCTACACTTCACCCGTATCTACAGGGTGTCACAAAAGAAAATTTACAGGGTCTTCTTTACCGCAAAAATAAACTAGGCATCGCCGAACGCTCATTCTCCGCCCAAAGGTAGAGCTAGAGGTCACAACCAGATGCCAAAGTTTCAGCCTGATCCGATAACTTAATCAAAAGTTATAAGTGATTTTCTGAAAATTTCAATGAAAAAATGGCGGCCGACGGAGTTTTCAAACACATGGGGCTCTATGGCACCAGAAACCGAAAACGGGCAAAAATGGGCTCCACTTTCCCATTGAAATTTTCAGAAAATCACTTATAGCTTTTGATTAACTTATCGGATCGGGCTGAAACTTTGGCATCTGGTTGTGACCT